AAAAAAAAATTATTAAAATAATTAAGTTGGTTTTCATTAAAAAATTTATAAAGAAAAAAAATATGGTTAAAATCTTATTCACACTTACTAATCGCTGGGCGTCGAGTGTAAAAAAAGCTTCGAGTGGTTGGTGTACAGCACGTGTTAAACGACTTCAAACAAGCAGTACCAAATCCAACTGGAGCTACACATTGCAGATGTTGTCGACTTAATTCCCTTGCCAACATACAGCATTCGCAACACTCCTACAAAAAATTTCAGTACCTGTTTGAGGAAAATGTGCACAAAATTAAACATTATTCTTGCACCTATCGACTAATACATGATGAATTAGTGGTAAGTTACAAGCAACTGAAGAGCCGCTTTTTATTCTACGACACTTCACTATGATAAGCAAACCAACACCTTACGAATTCCTTCTCCAACCATCCGAAGAGTAGTAGCGCAACTGCCTCCTTGTGCCATTTTAGTACCCTGTTCACAACTCCTGTCCAGCAATGCTCGAAGGCAACATATAGAAGCCGCTCGTCTACAAGATACTTTGGAACCCTCAGTCCGAATCTGTGAACACTTGGAGTGCTGTAGGAAGTGACGAGCGCCACCGCTGCAACATCTTGTCAGCTCATTCCCCTTCGTAAAAGCTAAATTTATTGAAAATAGGTACATAATATATATTAATATATGGTTTTTTTTTACTTTTTAACCAAAAGAATAGTTTCTAAATTTGGAGGTATTTGCTTGTTTTAGCCACCGGTTGAGGCTTGATCTAATTAAATGCCTCAGTTCTTTTGAGCCGAAAGAAAAAGATAGGTGATAAAACACTAAAATGTAGAAATTTACCAGCACTTAATAGGACAAGTATTATTTCCAATTTCATAGACTCCTGGATAGTAGAACAAACCAGAAAGTAAAGACTTGGTTGGATAATAGATGATATTAATAAAAGTAATCGGGAGCTTTCAGACGAACTGTTCCTAAAATATTACAATAAACACTTTTGAAGAGATCAAGGGAACGCCGAAAAAATTTTTTTTGATGATAAAAGTGCTATAGTTTTAAACGGCTTATAAACTGAGCGACATCTTTGTGTTCATACATAATGTACAACCTTGAAAACATAACGAAACCGCAAATAAGCATTCAGAAAAACTGTTTAAAACTACATATTTGACTAAATAGTAAAGTAAGCTTTATTAGTCCATGCAAATGATGACTTTAATTTATTATATGGCAGCACATTGAATTAATAATATAATTAAATGTTCAATCTTTTTTTTGTTGTTTTTTAAGCCAAGTTTTTAAAAAAATTAAATTTTCTATCATTTATTTATTTGTCATTTTTGGTATGCATCAAACATTTGCTACAGTTTTTACAATTTTCTTCATTTAGCTTTAACACCAAATTTTTTTTTAAGCTTAGCATTTTAAAAAGCTGCATCACCAAAAAATTGAACAACTTTGTGTTATGAAGTAATTCTGAGTAGAAAATTTAAAAGCCTATACAGTGGCTGCTTAAGGAATCGGAAGTCACAGAAGTTGGCAGGCAAAAGATAACCATCTATTTTTAATACCCACACAGTAGGATCGTAAAGTAAATCAACGTTTCAAAGTCAGTTCTACGTTGTAAAACGATCAGTTTAGTAACAGTAAATGTAGTCTTTGCGAATACTTCAAGATAAACCAATGTGTTTTATATAAAATTAAAACATTGTAAAGCTGAAATAGGATAGAAAAAACCAACTAACTTACCAAAACTCTGTCTCGTGAAAAAAGAAAGTGGGAAAGCCTACAATATGTGACAATAAATTGCTCAGACTTTCTTTTTTGTCGCATTAATCTCGTTAATACTATGTATCAAAAAATTTACAAAAGGAAAGAAAAGAAAAACATTAGACGAAATTTATTTGTTTGACAAATCTAATTAAGAGATCGAATATATAAGTTTTAGTGATATGTACAGCTACGCTTGTAACTTTTTTTTCAATCTTATTCAATTACTTTGTCAATAAATTCTATCAGTATTTTACCTGCCAGAAGTTTAATCGATTTACAAATACATTACAACTTCAATCAGTTATATAATTATTCAATAAAGAAGAAGAAAAAAAAAGCATTTAAAATTTTTTTTTGTTTTATTCGAGCTGTTAAGGTTATAATGTTATCAGTTAAGTGTGTATAGTTGACAGAAAAAAAATTTAAAAAAAGAAGAAGATTTATAGATGTTTAGCTGATGAAATCAATAAGACAAATTAATGGAACACTTTGAAATAGAGCAATTAAAGCGAAGGAGGAAAAAAAAAGGCAGAATAACTTTAAGTGTGATAAGTGCAGATTGATATTGATATCATTTGAAGATTACACAGATAATAGTCAACAACTTTTTACCTTTTTTGTTAGCAGTTTTTTTCTGTCAACTGTAATCATTTGAATAACACTAAAAAATTAAATAACTGAGAAACTTTACTAAAACGGTAGTCTGATAAATAGTAACTTTAATACTGAATAAATACGACACATGTAA